ATTCTGAGTTAATAAACTTGTTGCTGTTTCAACACTCTGCCTCATTCAACGCCTAAAGAACCAAAGATGTAACATAATCAATATTCATAGGCTTGGCAACTGACTCACATTTATGACGTTTGCCATGTCCTGGGGTCATGTCATCACCTTTTGCGACCTTCTGAGGAGCAAAGTCAATGGGGAAGCCAGATTTACTTAACAACCATGTTACTAACTTAACAACTGATTCACTGTGGCTAGAAAGGTCAAAGAATGGGGCAAAAACTCACTTAACAATTGTCTCACTTAACAACAGAAATTTTGGGCTCAATTGCTGTCGTACGTCCAGGATTACTTGTATACCAGCGGTATAGGGACTATATGGTTTTATAAAGTTATAAGGAAGGCTGAGCACCAAAGAACTGATACTTTCGAATTGTGGTGTTGGAGACCATTTGTCGGCCGTGACCAGGGGGGCATTTTATCAGGTTCGCCTGATCTACCAGTTGCGCCCTTTTCTGGACCGGGATGCTTTGCGCACAGTCACTCAGGCCCTCGTCACCTCCCGCCTGGACTACTGTAATGCTCTATACATGGGGCTCCCTATGAGGAGCATCCGGAGGCTTCAACTGGTCCAGAATGCGGCCNCGTTCCTCATATGTTTTAGCCTCCAGTCCCCTAATCATCTTTGTTGCTCTTCTCTGTACTCTTTCTAGAGTCTCAGCATCTTTTTTTTACATTGTGGTGACCAAAACTGGATGCAGTATTTTTGTTCATATCTCCTATGCCCAATCCTGCATAATGTCTCCCAAACGAAATTGCACAGACATTTAGAGGTACGCCTCAATTTACAGCGGTTTGTTTAGCGACTGTTCAAAGTTACAATGGCACTGAGAGAAGCGACTTATAACAGTTTCTCACACTTACGACCACTGCCACAACCCCATGGTCACGTAATCTGTAATGTATTGGCCACAACTGTTTTAAATCACTTGCTTAATGTCTGACCTACATTGCTGTATTGTTTAGCAGTTGCTGTTACTGAAAGCCAGGCTGGCTGTCTCCCAGCTGATAATGAGGTTTGGGGCCGGAAACTGTTACTTTAAACCAGGGGTGTCAAACTCAATTTCATTGAGGGCCGCATCAGCATTGCGGTTGTCCTCGGGGTGGGTGGGTGGGCGGGTGTGGCCAGGTGGGTGCAGCCTACTGGGTGGGCATGGATGGAGTGGGTGTGGCCTACTGGGTGGGCATGGCCAGCTCTACATCGTTCGTGTCAAGGGTGCCTGTGGGGGCCTGGGCAGGAGTGGGACAGATCTGAGGGTCTCTGGCAGAAGGGGGTGGGACTGGGGCAAGCGCCAAGGCATGGTCCATTTCTTCATTCCTCACAAAGGGTGACACCTCCCCAGCATGCACCCAGGGGGCGGGGCCGACGCAGCAGGGGCTGGTTCCTCGTTGTTTCTAGACGGCCTTGTGGAACTAAAACTGAATGCGTTTCAGCATAGATGGCCCCCACAAAATTGTACATTGGCTCCCGGCCGGCCTGGGCCAGGGCCAAGGCAGCGGGGGCCGTTCCCTCACTTGTTTCCAGGATGGCTTCGCGGGCCACATGAAACCATTTCGCGGGCCGCCTTGTGTTTGACATGGCTGCTTTAAACCTATTGGTTGCCACCTAGAGGCTAACTGTATAAATAGCTGTGCAGCAGCCTTTAGGGCTGCTTCTATTCTGAGTTAATAAACTTGTTGCTGTTTCAACACTCTGCCTCATTCAACGCCTAAAGAACCAAAGATGTAACATAATCAATATTCATAGGCTTGGCAACTGACTCACATTTATGACGTTTGCCATGTCCTGGGGTCATGTCATCACCTTTTGCGACCTTCTGAGGAGCAAAGTCAATGGGGAAGCCAGATTTACTTAACAACCATGTTACTAACTTAACAACTGATTCACTGTGGCTAGAAAGGTCAAAAAATGGGGCAAAAACTCACTTAACAATTGTCTCACTTAACAACAGAAATTTTGGGCTCAATTGCTGTCGTAAGTCCAGGATTACTTGTATACCAGCGGTATAGGGACTATATGGTTTTATAAAGTTATAAGGAAGGCTGAGCACCAAAGAACTGATACTTTCCAATTGTGGTGTTGGAGAAGACTCCTGAGAGTCCCTTGGACTGCGGGGAGATCAAATCTGTCGATCCTAAAGGAAATCAACCCTGACTGATTTTTGGAAGGACAGAAAGTGAAGCTGAAGTCACCAAATGAGGACTTGTTGGAGAAGAAGACCCTGATGCTGGGAAAGACTGAAGGCAAAAGTAGAAAGGGACGGCAGAGGATGAAATGGTTAGATAGTGTCATCGACGCAATGAATGTGAATTTGGGCAAATTGTGGGACACAATGGAGGACAGGCAGGTTTGGCATGCTATGGTCCATGGGGTTCTGGAGTGAGAAATGATTTAGTGACTGAAGAATAGAAATAACAACATTAACAACAAGGTTTTATAAGAATCTCATAACATTGGAATCCCAATGTTTTTTCAAAGTATGTTGTTGTTAGTTGCGAAGTCATGTCTGACCCATCGCGACCCCATAGATAACATTCCTTCAGGTCTTCCTGTCCTCTACCATCTTCTGGAGTCCATTTAAGCTCACGCTTACTGCTTCAGTGACTCCATCCAGCCACCTCATTCTCTGTCGTCCCCTTCTTCTATTGCCCTCAATTTTTCCCAGCATTAGGCCCTTCTCCAGTGAGTCCTTCCTTCTCATTAGGTGGCCAAAGTACTTGAGTTTCAACTTCAGGATCTGGCCTTCTAAAGAGCAGTCAGGGTTGATCTCATCTAGGACTGACCAGTTTGATTGCCTTGCAGTCCAGGGGACTCACAGGAGTCTTCTCCAGCACCATAGTTCAAAGGCCTCAATTCTTTGGCGCTCAGCCTTTCTTATGGTCCAACTTTCACAGCCATACATTGCAACTGGGAAAACCATGGCCTTGACTATACGTACTTTTGTTGGCAGGGTGATGTCTCTGCTTTTTAGTATGCGGTCTAGATTTGCCATAGCTTTCCTCCCCAGGAGCAAGCATCTTCTAATTTCTTGGCTGCATCTATGGTGATCTTGGAGCCCAGGAAGATAAAATCTGTCACTACCTCCATTTCTTCCCCATCTATTTGCCAGGAATTGAGAGAGCCGGATGCCATGATCTTGGTTTTCTTAATGTTGAGTTTCAAGCCAACTTTTGCACTCTCCTTCTTCACCTGCATCAAGAGGCTCTTTAGCTCCTCTTCACTTTCTGCCATTAGAGTAGTATCATCTGCATATCTTAGGTTGTTGATATTTCTCCCGGCAATCTTAATTCCAACTTTTGATTCATCTAGCCCTGCCTTTCTCATGATGTGTTCTGCGTATAAGTTAAATAGGCAGGGCGACAGAATACAGCCTTGCCGGACTCCTTTCCCAATTTTGAACCAATCAGTGGATCTGTGTCCAGTTCTCACTGTTGCTTCTTGACCCGCATATAGGTTTCTCAAGAGACAAATAAGATGGTCTGGTACTCCCATCTCTTTAAGAACTTGCTACAGTTTGTTGTGATCCACACAATCAAAGACTTTAGCATAGTCAGTGAAGCAGAAGTAGATGTTTTTCTGGAACTCCCTAGCTTTCTCCATGATCCAGCATATGTTGGCAAAGTATAGTGCACTGCCTTAATTGGGACTACTTTCTAGATAGAAAGCGAATACATAGGATATCTGCTTTAGACCCTTCCGTTGTGGTTGGCTACTATATCACACTCTTCATCTCAGCCAATTGCAAGATAGTGGACTACATGTCCCATTTCTGTGGCTCAGAGATGATCTCCCGATCATGATTGTTGATCGTTAACCAAAGTACAGCTTCTTGTTGTTTTGGTGGGGAAAAAGATGCAATCTGTAACATCAACTCTAAAATAGGTAGATCATCTCTGAATGGGTGTTTTTGGAAATGTGAATGATAAACCACCATAAATAAAACTCGTCGCTCAAGGAAGTAAGGCTGGAAGCAAATACTTCCTATCCCAGTGTTTCTCAACCTTGACAATTTTAAGGCATGTGGACTTCAACTCCCAGAATTCCACAGCCAGCATTGCTGGCTGTGGAATTCTGGGAGTTGAAGTCCACATCCCTTAAAATTGTCAAGGTTGAGAAACACTGTCCTATCCCTATTTCGAACATCCTTAATTACACCGATTTAATCATCCGAAAACTAAATGCCAACAGGTTCAGGCTTTTGCAGCTGGTTGCCATTGGCCAATCGTCGCTAAGCGACGAGCGAAAACAAAGATGGCGGCGAAACGATGGCTTCTACACAGACTAATATAACTCCTCCTCCCGTGTCTTCATATTAGAGGAGGGGGGAGAGGGAAACAACCCTAAATAAAGATGGCAGACTAAACTTCACTTTCCCGGGCTGGAAGCGGGGTGAGGCGGATAATCTAATTTAAATAACATGGCGACCACAAAGGTTCCATCCCTCCGCTTTTTCTAAAACGGCCGCTCTTTCGTCATAGGAATACGTATTACGTCATCTCAATAGCGCGCGGACGTAAAGCTACAAATATTGCCTTCTAGCGGCAAAGCTATTTGGCCCCTCCCACCGCGTCCGAGGCTCGGCTAAGGCATTCCTTCAGACGTACTAGCTTAGTTCAGATGCTTAGAATTATTTTAAATAGTATATGAACTGAGAAAGTTTTGTTTTTTTTTAACAAAGCCGAGGAAACTTTTATCAGCACCCGGGATTTTTTTTTTCTCCCCCTTTTCCTACCGAAATTTTTAATTGAGAAGCGTCGGGCACTCCTTTAGACAACCAATGGGAAATGGAACAGTCGCAAGTAAAGGGGCTTAGCGGGCTCCAGGCGCATGCGTAGTGACTGAACGCCCGGGAAGGCGGCGCTTCGGGAGGCAGGAGCCGCTCCAGCCGCGAGGCCAGCGGCTGTTTGGTCCCAATATCAGTTTCGGAGCAGGATTTCGTGGGGAAGGACCTGCGGTGGGAGAATCCGGCAATCGGACGCCCTCCTTTTTTACCCGTGGCCGCGGAAGGAAGCGGAAGCGCCACCATTTTAGAGCGTCCGGGGACTCGCTTCGACGCAAGCGTAGGTCAGAGAGGTAAAGAAGTGGGCCAAAAATGAAACGGGGCCGATATTTCCGGCATCAAAAAACCGTCGCATTGATAATCCCGGGCGGAAGAGCGTCGTTGCTTCTTTCAGTCCGCCATAAGGGACTCGTTGGCCGCATATGAAAGCTTACGGTATACAAATACACATAATAATGTGAGCCTCTTTGGGTGTAACGTTCAGCCTGCGATCGGCGAAGGGAACCCGGAGGTGTGTCCCGTTTTCTTGTCCGCTAACTCTATGGAGCGAGGGTTTCCCCCTTCTGTATGTGATTTTTTTTTTTTAACACCCCCCCCTCCCCCTCTTTCGGCAGGAAGTTTTCCTGGAAGCGGAAGGAGGAGAAGCTTTTTGCTGGAACCGATTCCTGTTGGACGGGAAGGGAAAAGGACGCGGGGGGGTTTCAGGGTAACAAATTACCTGGGGGGGGGGTCGAGAGGGGGGGGGAAAGGAGTGGAGGAGAAAGAAAGAAAGGGGGGGGGCTTGCGCTGCAAACGCCCCCATCGCTTTGCCTTCTCACGATCGCCTCTTGGGAAATACGTGTAGCGTGTAGAAGAGGACGGCGTGGGAGCGTAGCATTGTCCTGGGGTATATGGGGCGAAGATTATCCGGGGATCGAAGCAAAAAAAGAAAGCAGGGTTGGACTGAATGATGGTCCTCCAGATGTTGTTGGGGGGGGGGGAACAAGTCCCATCATCCTTGGATAGGGGATCGCACTTGGGGTAGTAGAGGCTTATTGAGACTGAGCCCTCGTTCAGGACGAGACTCGCTTATTAGCCCTGTTTTGGAGAGAATTGGGGGCTTCCCCAAAATCCCCCATTTGCAGAAGGTTCCAGTGGCTGTTTTGGGAGTGGCTGGATGGGAGTTGGGTGATAAGTCATCCAGGTTGTGATCCAGGTCAGTCATCCAGGTTATGGTTGTCCTGAAGGTGCTTCCCCTCCCCTCCAAAAAAGGCAAGTGGACTTTCTAGGTCAGTGTTTCTCAACCTTGACCATTTTAAGGCATGTGGACTTCAACTCCCAGAATTCCACAGCCAGCGTTGCTGGCTGTGGAATTCTGGGAGTTGAAGTCCACATGCCTTAAAATGGTCAAGGTTGAGAAACACTGTTCTAGGTTGTTATTTTTTTTGGCCTTTGAAAAATTTCACTTCTCATCCAGGAAGAAGAAGCTAAAAGAAGTTTCTTGGATGAGAAGCAAAATGCTTTCAAAAAGAAGAAAAAAAATCAAAGTCCAGTTGCCTTTTTTGGGGAGGGAAAAAACCCCACACGCCTTTAGGACATTCTGGTGATATTCTTTCTTTTTGTCAGTTGTGACAAAGGGTGGTTCTTTAGGAGCCTTAAGGCAGTGGTTCTCAACCTTTTTAATGCCGCGACCCCCAACCGGTTGTAAGTCGAGCGCTAAACCGGTCATAAGTCGAGGACTAAACCGGTCGTAAGTCGAGGACTACCCAACCGGTCGTAAGTCGAGGACTTTCCCTGCCCAGGAGCGCCATGCATGCGTGGTTCCGCCCCCTGCGCCGGCCGAGGCATAGCTGGCAAGCGGCAGAGCGGAGCAGGCCGACCACCAGCTGGTCCAGCTCAAGGGAGGTAAGGCACCCGCCAGAAAAGGGGAAAAAAAATAGTGGACAGCCTTGCCTGGCGACCCCTGTGAAATGGTTGATCGACTCCAAATGGGGTCGCGACCCATAGGTTGAGAACCGCTGCCTTAAGGGGTGTGCATTTTAGGTAGGATGTTACAGTATTCCTGCTGATGATGTACCAGAAGTTAGAGAGGGGAAAGTTGTTCTGAACTGAAAAGAGAAAATTCATTCCAGCTTCTGGGATGAGAAGTGAAACGTTTTCAAAGGGGGAAAAAAAAATCAGGAAAGTCCAGTTGTCTTTTGGAAAAAGCACCTTTGGGACAGTCTGGTGATAGTCTTTCTTTTTTGTCAGCGACAAAGGGTCGTTCTGTGAGAGTCTTAGGGATGTGCTTTTTAGGTAGGTCATTATAGTATTTCTGCTGATGGCATGCGACATTGGAGAGGTGAATCCCGTTTTGACCTGAAAAGAGATGATGGGCTAATTCTGCTGCTTGGCTTACAGGACATTTTATTCTTGTCCATTCGGTTTGGGAGAGATGGGGTGAATCCCTTCCAAATTCTTTTAGATTTTTCTCTTGATCAAATACTACTTAGATCAGGTGTGTGAAACCTTTTGGCTTACCTGGGCCATACTGAGTGAAGACGTGTTGTCTTGGGCCCCATATAGAATATATAACATAGTTAAGGTATACAAATAACAACGTGAAAAGTTTACGATCTTGTGGGGCTGCATTATTAGCTGTTCAGGGCCACATGTGGGTTGTGGGCGCCATGGGTTGGACATGCCTGACTTAAACATTAGTATGGACTGAATCCCAGAGTTCTTTAATGGCTTACTTAATCAACTCCTTGCACTGGAAAAAATGTTGATTAAAAAAAAAATTGCAAAATTTGCTTTTAATGAAGAGAGTGGGCTCTAGGTCAAACTACATGAAGACTTAATTGGAGGGACCGTCTGGGGAGCTGCATGGTAGGGAAGGGATTTGAACCTGATCCCTTCTGGAAAGGGCAGTAATGGTTGCCAGGGAATGTGAGGTTGTGATCAATGCTAGGCTGGGTGAAATGAGGTTCAGCAACTCTAACCCTAGCCATGTTTCCTTACTAATAATTGTATTGATTTTAGTTTACTTATAAACGAATAGTTAATTGTAGTCTTATTTATAAAGCTAAAGGATACTTTACTCACGCTATTTATTGATATCTGGGTGTTTATTAAAATTGAGTTTCTTCCAAGGAATAGGATTGCAGAAATACCTTTTTTTCCCCTTCAAATGAATATTGTTAATAATCTGTGGTTTTTTTCTCTCTTCTCTTGTTCTTCCTTCTAGGGTTTTAGAACATCTTTTAAATTGCTGCTTGTTGGGTCATTGGAGGTCAGTTAGAATTTTTCCCAGACCATAAAAGCAATGTATAACTTGATTTCACCTTCCTTCTGGGCTGCAAATAATATTAACCTAAGCATATATAGGCTGGACAGTTTTGTGGAGTTATTAGCTTTCTGCCATGAAGAAGGGAAACTGTATACTTAGTCAAATCTTGTTTATCAGGCCTTACAGTGTTCATTAGGACTCAGTCTCCAGGATAAATAGAATTTGAAAACTCATAATGAACAGTTTGCACTACAGCATTCATTTCAAACCTTTCAAGGTGTGTGCCTTTACTAATGTTTTTGATGCTGTTGTGGCATTAGACTCCCAACTGTAGGCAAATCTGTAGGCAAAACAAACCCAATATGTATTCAGTGCTCAAGAAATACAGTACAGGTAGTCCTTGACTTACGACCACAATTGAGCCCAAAATATCTGTTGTTAAGTGAGACGTTTGTTAAGTGAGTTTTACTCCATTTTGCGACTTACCTTGCCACAGTTAAGTGTATCACTGCCGTTGATAAGTTACAGTTGTTAAAGTGAATCACTTTTCCCCATCGACTTTGTTTGTCGGTAAATCGCAAAAGGTAATCCCAATGACCCTGGGACCCAGCAACGGTCATTAAGTATGAACCAAGCATCTTGGTTCATACTTAATGACCGTTGGCCAAGCATCTGAATTTTCATCACATGATCATGGGGCTGCTACAAAGGTCGTAAGTGAGAAAAATGGTTGTAAGTCACTTTTTTCAGTGCCGTTGTGATTTTGAACGGTCACTAAATGAACTCTTGCAAGTCGAGGACTATATGTAGTAATTATAGTGGGAGCGGTGTGGACAGAACAAGAAAAGGAAGAAAGAGAGGGACCGATTTATTATGACAGGAGGGTTTGTGGGTAGAAGCCCCTGTTCTTAGAACAGCAGAGATGCACACACTGCATGTGGGTATAAAGCTAAAGGAGGTAAAATGCAAGATGTACGACCTATGAGATTTCTCTACAGCACCAAAAGTACATGGGAAGTATACAGATTAATGCCTGGTATCAAAATATTGCAACGCTCTTTTTTATAACTTTTCTTTATAATGATTAATTCTGTTAAGGAAATATGTATAGAATAATAATAATAATAATAATGATAAAGTTGGAAGGGACCTCGGAGGTCATCTAGTCCAACCTCCTGCTCAGGCAGGAAACCCTATACCATTTCGGACAAATGGCTGTCCAATCTCTTCTTAAAAACTTCCAGTGTTGGCGCATTCACCGCTTCTGGAGGCAGGTTGTTCCACTGGTTTTAATGGATTACACAGTTGTCATCATGAAGCAGAACAGATAACCAGTTAAAAGCAGTTTACAGAGCTAGTTTGGTCTAGTGCAGGGGTAGACAACCTTGGCTCTTTTATGACTCGTGGACTTCCAACTCCCAGAATTCCTGAGCCAGCCTGCCTGGCTGAGGAATTCTGGGAGTTGAAGTCCACAAGTCATAAAAGAGCCAAGGTTGCCTACCCCTGGTCTAGTGGTTAAGGCACTCAGCTAGAAAGCAGTGAGTTCAAGTCCTGATTTAGGCATGAAAGCCTGCTGGGTGACTTCAGACCAGTCACTCTCCCTCAGCCCAACCCACCTCAAAGGGTGGTTGTTGTAGGTTAAATAGGAGGAAGGTGTATGTCAGGGGCCTTCAAACTTGGCCCTTTTATGACTTGTGGACTTCAACTCCCAGAATTCCTCAACCAGCCTGCCTGGCTGAGGAATTCTGGGAGCTGAAGTCCACAAGTCGTAAAAGGGCCAAGTTTGAAGACCCCTGGTGTATTGGATACATTCACTGCCTTGCGTTACTTGTAATGCTAATGGCAGAATACCAATAAATAAAAATAAAATACTACTGATAAGGGCTTGAGGCCATCAGAAGATGGAATGATTTGTAAGTAAGGAAGTCAAGTTCGAATGTGAGAATTTTTCAACAAATGTGTTTTTAAGAAATTCTAGCAGACTTTCTTTCATCGAGTGTGGTTATTGGCACTAGTGTCTCTTTTCTAGAAAAGACGGAAGTCTCCATTGCTGATTTTTGTCAGAGTTATGGAAGTTTGTAATAATACTAATTCAAATTTCTGGCAGTAAGTGAATTATACTGCTGGGATATCTAAGATTTTTATCTGGGTAACACCGATCGTTACGAATAGATTTTTCTCCAAAGAAACAATTCAAATTTGTTGTAAAATGATTCCTGATTCATGTTATATATGTTTTGCTGTATGCTAGACAGAAGAAATGGTACTTTTTAAACCTTCATATACCCTATAGCAGGATTAGGCAACCTTGGCCTTATAGTGAATGGGTGAGTTTTTTATATAACAGCTTCCCTAAAATGCAGACTAAGGAGTCATTTGGAAAATCGGCTGTCTTCTTTCTTAGATATTGCTTCCATTTTTTTTCTGGAAAGGCTAAGCTTGTGAATTACAGCCTCCGTGAATGAAACTTACCAATTTTCTTGTTCCTTACAGAAAAATCTGTAGTTACCATGGCGGAGCTGGAGAACCTTGAGGTGATGATCAAGACCTTGGACTCTCAGACAAGAACCTTCACGGTGGAAGGGGAGGTAGGATCCCCTAAATTTGGATTGCAGCTGTGAAGTGGAGGGGGGGGACCGTGGCTGTTTTATGCCTGGTGTATCTCAACGGTGTATTGGTGTCGCTTGGCAGAACTCACACTTTAACCTGCTTTAAGGTAAAGAATTATGAGCAGAAGACCCCCTGGGCCTACTTGCTGGTCAGGAAGAAATAAAAAAAGAGAATTCAGGAGAGGGCTGGTTTGAAGAACAAATGCAATAACCTGCAGGCCAAAGTTTGAAAGGAGTAATTAAATATTTAATTCCTCCCAGAGGAAGTGAGAGTACAGGTAGTCCTCGACTTACGACCGCAACTGAGCCCCACGTTTCTGTTGTTAAGCAAGGCAGCGGCTGAGTTTTGCCCCATTTTTATGACCTTTTTTTTTTTGGCCCACAGTTAAGCAAATCACTGCAGCTGTTAAGTGAATATTGAGGTCATTAAGCGAATCTGGCTCCTCCTCCCCTCCCCACATTAACTTCGCTTGTGGGAAGCTGGCCGGGAAAGGTCACAAATGGTGATCCCACAACCCCAAGGACGCTGCGACTGTCATAAATATGAAACAGTTGCCAAGGGTCCAAATTTTGATCTGACCACGGGGCTGTTGCGACAGCTGTAAGTGTGAAAACCGGTCATAAGTCACTTTTTCAGTGCCATTGTGACTTTGAATGGTCGCTAAACGAATCATTGTGAGTCGAGGACCACGTGCCCTTCTTTTGGCATCCGGCATAGGATGTGGAGTAAAATCAGGCAACTTTTTAATCTATCTGTTCATCTTTGAAAGTTACCTATTCAGCTCAGTTATCTAAATCTCAAAACTACTAAACTAACCCAGTATTTAAAATAAGTTGCGGAGAGTCAGGTGGCGTATGAATTTTAATTTATTATTCCTGTTAAAGAGCTGAGATCATTGGAGGGGAAGAGCCCCCTGCATGTCACAGAGGCAAGTTAAATTTTACAGTCCAGGCAGAGGAGCAAAAAGTTCCACCGGCAGGAAAATCTCCTTTGTGCTAGAGTGGTGAATAAGAAGACATATTCTTGGAAGTGGCCTACTCTCAAGTTGCTGATGACTTGGTTTTATTGGAAGCAGCAGCCAAAAATTCCTGGAGGATTCCCTTACCACGAATCAAGTCTTTAGTGGAGGGGCAGTATGATGCCATCCTGACTTCTGGGACTAAAGCCCAGATGGGCTTAGATTTCTTGAGGCACCGTCTCGCCCTACTGGGATTGGCCCTTCCCAGTCGTGGCGGCAGAAGAGGCATGCTCTGGGTCCCGTTGGCCCGATTATTCCGGCTGGTGGGGTCCAAGAGGAGTGCCTTCTCTGCTGTTGGTCCTGCCCTCTGGAACATCTCTTCTCTCTCCCCCTCCCCCCAATGTGAAGTTGGCCCCAACCTTCCTATCTTTTCGTAAGGGCCTAAAGACGTGGCTTTGCCAGTCGGCTTTGGGCTCCAGTGGGGGAATAGCGCAATGGAGGTGACTGACTGAGTAATAACAGATTCCACCACCTCTGCGCCCCCCCCGCTCTCCCCATGTGTCCTTGGTTTTAGTGTCTGACTTTAACTTTTTATGTTTTAACTGTATATGTAACTGTTAAGCCGCCCAGAGTTACCTTATAGCAGCGGTTCTCAACCTATGGGTCGCGACCCCATTTGGGGTCGATCGACCATTTCACGGGGGTCGCCAAGCAAGGCTGTCCGCCATTTTTTTCCCCCTTTTCCGGCGGGTGCCTTACCTCCCTTGAGCTGGGCCAGCTGGTGGTCGGCCTGCTCCGTCTCTGCCGCTTGCCAGCTACGCCTCGGCTGGCGCAGGGGGCGGAACCACGCATGCGCGGCGCTCCCAGGCAGGGAAAGTCCTCGACTTACGACCGGTTCGGTAGTCCTCGACTTACGACCGGTTTAGTCCTCGACTTACGACCAGTTTAGTCCTCGACTTACGACCGGTTGGGGGTCGCAGCATTAAAAAGGTTGAGAACCACTGCCTTATAGTAAGATGAGTGGCCAATAAATTTTAGATAGATAGACAGACAGACAGACAGACAGAGATAGCAATAGCACTTAGACTTATATACCGCTTCATAGTGCTTTACAGCCCTCTCTAAGCGGTTACAGCAGACATGTCAAACACAAGGCCCGGGGGCCGGATGCGGCCCGTGAAGTGGTTTCATGTGGCCCGCGAAGCCATCCTGGAAACAGTGAGGGAACGGCCCCCGCTGCCTTGGCCCTGGCCCAGGCCTGCCGGGAGCCAATGTACAATTTTGTGGTGGCCATCTATGCTGAAACACATTCAGTCTTAGCTCCACAAGGCCGTCTGGAAATGGCTTGGTGCTGCAGGTGCTCGAGGGCCAGGCTGGGCGTTTGACCTCTGCTGCCCAGGGCTCCGGGCAGCCCGCGCCACCATCCAGCCCCCCACGCATGGCCTGAGAGGAACAGTGAGGCTCCTCCAGTGGACCATGCCTTGGCACTTGCCCCGGTCCCACCGCCTTCTGCCAGAGACCCTCAGATCTGTCCCACTCCTGCCCAGGCCCCCACAGGCACCCTTGACGCGAATGATGTAGAGCTGACCACGCCCACCCAGCAGGCCACACCCACTCCATCCACGCCCACCCAGTAGGCCGCACTCACCCTGGCGACACCCACCCGGCCCCCCCAGGGCAACCGCAATGCTGATGCGGCCTTCAATGAAATTGAGTTTGACACCCCTGGGTTACAGAGTCAGCATATTGACCCCAACAATCTGGGTCCTCATTTTACCCACCTCGGAAGGATGGAAGGCTGAGTCAACCTTGAGCCAGTGAGGAGCTTCCTTCGTTGTTTGGGCTTTCCTAGGCAGCAGCTGCCATAGAGGGGCCAGGTTCTGGTGAAGGAATAGTGGGAGGAGGAGGAGGAGGAGGAGAGGGGGGGAGGAGGANGAGGAGGGGGAGGAGGAGGAGGAGGAGGAGGAACAACAACACTTCCTGGCATGTTTTTTTCCCCCGTTTTCCGTAGATCACAGTGAAAGAGTTCAAGGAGCACATAGCAGGCTCAGTCAGCATTCCCTCCGAAAAGCAGCGCCTCATCTATCAAGGGAGAGTCCTACAAGACGACAAGAAGTTAAAAGAATACAGTGAGTCAGGAAGCAAGAGAAGGTTGCTTGGGTTGAAGTAAACAGAGGAGGGGTTTGGGAGACGGGGAGGGATTCTGACCCCGGAAAACAGCCATGGAGGAAGTTCACGCTGGGAAAAGCCCTCCAACATGTTACTGTTCTGCTTCCATAGTTTCACTCCCAGAATGAAATTCGTATTTTGCAGGAGGTGCTTGCTCTTGAGTGATTTTGGCAGAGGCTCAGAACCCTGGGTGGAGTGCAAAATAGTTGAAATAAAACTTTGAAATTGATTTTGAGACCTAAAGTGGTTGCCTTTTTCCCTACCAATTCTTCCCCCCCCCCTCTTTAATGTTTTATTGATTTTCTAATTTTACATTTAAGTGTTTAAAAAGCAACGTGGTGGCTGAGTTAAATCGAAAATTCAATGATACGCAAACATCTTTCAGTGCAAGTCTCAAACTACCACATTCAATATTTCCTCTCTTTTCCCCTTAGCATTTACTGTCTCATGTTTAAACTAATACAATTCTTATTATATCAATTAAATAAAAATAACATTCTTACATTTATCAATAATTTTTAGCTTATACATATCCTGGTTATTTTAACATCCTACCAATTCTTTTCCTACTTGATGTACATACGTACATGTTTGGACATGTATGTACATCTTGTGCAATGTACATATATACTACAATATAATAGTAATATATATAATGTGTTATAATATATATGTTGAGACTCTAGAGAGAATACAGAGAAGAGCAACAAAGATGATTAGGGGACTGGAGGCTAAAACATATAAGGAAAGGCTGCTGGAACTGGGTATGTCTAGTTTAACGAAGAGAAGGACGAGGGGGGACATGATAGCAGTGTTCCAGTATCTCAGGGGCTGCCACAAAGAAGAGGGAGTCAAGCTATTTTCCAAAGCGCCTGAAGGCAGGACAAGAAGCAACGGATGGAAACTGATCAAGGAGAGAAGCAATCTAGAACTAAGGAGAAACTTCCTGACAGTGAGAACAATTAACCAGTGGAACAACCTGCCTCCAGAAGCGGTGAATGCTCCAACACTGGAAGTTTTTAAGAAGAGACTGGACAGCCATTTGTCTGAAACGGTATAGGATTTCCTTCCTGAGCAGGGGGTTGGACTAGATGACCTCCAAGGTCCCTTCCAACTTTACTATAATTATAATTATATTGTATGTATCAGTGCCGGTAGTCCACGATTGAGACCAAACTTTAAGTGTGACAATTGTTAAGTGAGTTTAGCCCCATTTTACAGCCTTTTTCGTCACAGTTGTTAAGCGAATCACTGCAGTTGTTAAGTGGTTGTTAAGTGAATCCGGCTTCCCCATTGACTTTGCTTGTCAGAAGGTCGCAAAAGGGGATCACATAATTCCGGGGACGCTGCAACCGTCATAAATATGAGTCAGTTGCCAAGCGTCCGAATGTAAATCACGGGACTGTGGAGATGCTACAACGGTCATAAATGTGAAAAACGGATACAAGTCACTTTTCTCAGGTCTGTTGTAACTTCGCACTGTCACTAAACAAACTATTGTAAGTCAGGGACCACCTGTACCGTTTCAGACAAATGGCTGTCCAATCTCTGCTTAAAAACTTCCAGTTCTTAAAATGGGCTTCAAGGCAGCTAGACTTGGAATGAAAACGCCTTTAAGGAAATCTGATTATATATCCCGGTGTGTGTGTGTCTCTGTGTGTGTTTTGTGTTTTTTTTTTGGCAGATGTTGGAGGCAAGGTCATCCACCTGGTGGAACGCGCACCTCCCCAGACCCAGTCGCCCTTGGGGGGACCGTCAGGAGCAGGCTTGTCTTCTGCTCCTCACAACAACACAGGACCCCGGGGGTCAGGGTCCACTGTCCATGACCGCAACGCCAACAGTTACGTTATGGTGGGAACCTTCAACTTACCAGTAAGCATTATGGACCCACAGCCGCCCACACAAGTGAGTTTTAGCCAGAGAGTGCTCCGCTGCGGGGCAAGGGGAAGTATCGGGGCTCCCCCTAACGCTTTAGCCCCCCTTCCCGTTAATAAAACGAGGAGGAACTTGCTTGTACGCTATTACTTTGTAGTGGGAGCTGCTGGGGTGGTGGTGGGGCGTTTTAGCAGTTTGGGGTTCCTCCCTTCTCTGTGCACAGAGTGGAGTCCACGCCAGCTGTTCCTGAACTGTCATTTCTGAGTCGGAGAATTGTGTCGTGAACAACATGGTACAACCAGAACAGAGCCTAGCCTGGCTGTCCCTCTGTTCCCCCTCTTTGTGATTCCTGTGTGTGGTGCGGCTGATAACGGACAGAGAGAAAGAGGGTTTGAATCCCCCACAGAACCTTCTTTCCTGTTGCTTGGGGAGATCTAAAAGCGTGCAGGTAGTCCCTCGGCTTCACGACCACAGTGGAGCCCAAACGTTTCTGTGGCTCGGTGAGACGTTTGTTAAGGGAGGCCCATTTTCTCGCCACAGTTGCTAAGCGAATCGCTGCAGTGGTTAAGCTAGCCACACGGCCGTTAAGCGAATCTGGCTTCCCCCTTGTCAGAAGGACGCAAAAGGGGATCGCACGACCCCGGGGGACGCCGCAGCCGTCATAAATACGGGTTTTTCAGCATCTGAATTTTGATCATGTGATCACTGGGATGCTGCGACGGCCCTAAGTGTGAAAAACGGTCATCGGTTATTTTTTTTTCCCCAGTGCTGTTGTAATTTTGAACAGTCACTAAATGAACTGCTGTAAGTCGAGGGCTACCTGTCTTTATCCAGACTAAGAAATGACAGTTCTGGGGCTGGACCTCCTGGGACTGTATTCTCTCTCTCTCTCTCTCGTATCTTTGACTTGATGGATCGCCTAGGCCAGGGGTAGGCAACCTTGGCTCTTTTATGACTCATGGACTTCAACTCCCAGAATTCCTGAGTCAGCATAGCTGACTCAGGAATTCTGGGAGTTGAAGTCCGTGAGTCATAAAAGAGCCAAGGTTGCCTACCCCTGGCCTAGGTGTAGCCTGTATCATCTTAAGCAAAGTTTGGGAAGAGGGTTTGTATTTGCAAACAAGAGTGGCCTCAAAGCAGGAACCAAGGCGGTATTGCGAGAGCCCTTTCTGAAGTTACACAGGCTTGCAAATATGCTTTGAGTAGTAAAGATTAGGGACGTTTATCATGTGAGCTACATACTTGAGGATTTACGTTTCTGAGTGTGCAGAATTCAGCCCCCTCTGAAGTCGGTATGGTTTACCTCCAGTGAGGGCCCCAAAGGTGCTTTTTTTAGGAGGCAACTGAACTTCCTTGTTTTTTGTTTTGAAGACCTTTTGCTTCTCATCCAAGAAGCTTCTTCAGCTCTGACTGGATGGCGGGGAAATGGAAGGATTTGTATTTATACGCCCTCAATGACTCTCTAAAACAGACATGTCAAACACAAGGCCCGGGGGCCGGATGCGGGATGCGGCCCGTGAAGTGGTTTCACGTGGCCCGCGAAGCCATCCTGGAAACAGTGAGGGAACGGCCCCCGCTGCCTTGGCCCTGGCCCAAGCCGGCCGGGAGCCAATGTACAATTTTGTGGTGGCCATCTATGCTGAAACGCATTCAGTCTTAGCTCCACAAGGCCGTCTAGAAACAGCGAGGAACCAACCCCTGCCGTGTCGGCCCTGCGCCCTGGGTGCATGCTGGGGAGGTGTCACCCTTTGTGAGGAATGAAGAAATGGACCATGCCTTGGCGCTTGCCCCGGTCCCACCCCCTTCTGCCAGAGACCCTCAGATCTGTCCCACTCCTGCCCAGGCCCCCACAGGCACCCTTGACGCGAATGATGTAGAGCTGGCCATGCCCACCCAGTAGGCCACACCCACTCCATCCACGCCCACCCAGTAGGCTGCACCCACCCTGGCAGTCCCTCCCCCCGCCCCCCCGAGGGCAACCGCAATGCTGATGCGGCCCTCAATGAAATTGAGTTTGACACCCCTGATCTAAAAGAACACAAATGGCCAGCTGTCTGCAAGGAATATAAATCCTTCCATTTCCCCGCCATCCAGTCAGAGCTGAAGAGGTTTCTTGGATGAGAAGCTAAAGGTCTAAAAGGAAAAACTGAGCCAGCCGTGTGCTGCAGCTGCCAAAAAAGCCAACACAGTGCTAGGCTGCATTAACAGAGG